CAAATTTTTACTATAGAAGCTCATCTGTTTCCTAAGGATGTTTTAAATGAAAGCCATAACAAGTTCATCTTCATCATGGGCGTTTTCATACCTTTTTTCAAAAAATAGGGGAAAAAATCATTAGTCAAAGATTTTCAGCACCTAAAAATGGGCCAATTTTCTGAATCACTTTTCTTCCTAAAAACTAGCTTATCTGCAGATCATGTCTTTTAAGACTTCCCATCTGTATCTTTCCCTTTTCCTTAATAAAAATGCCATGCTCTGATGAGGGGGAAAAACACTACCTTATCTATTAGAATACATTAAATGAGTGACTTTCAAATAATGATAGGGAAAAAGTGGTATCTGTATTTTTAATAATCAAAATTATTAAAGTGAAAAATAAATAACTCAAGTTTCAATGCAAAGTCAGATCATGTCATGTTATAAGAATTTAAAGTTAAGCCTTTCCAAATAGAAAAATAAATTTAGGAAAAAGTGGTAAAATTCTCATCTTAGCATATTGGTCTGCTAGGTTTTAATCAAGTAAGTCAATTCCTTTGGTAAGTGCTGTGTGATAAGGCTTTATTTTATTGTTTTCATTATTAATTTTGAGAAGGCAAAGCAATTATCACTGTCAATGTAACATATAAAGCCGAAATAAATTTATTTTGACCAGTGCCACAGTTACCCATATCATTATATTTGTTCCCAAAATAGCTGCTGCTTCTTTATTACAGAGGATTAGGGAGGACCTCCTATTTTAGATTCTTTTTACCTAGGTGACTTTAAGCTCTAATTGCTCAGTCACTTTCAGACACTAGTTCTGGCCTAGGAAAGAGAGAAAAAGGAAAAATCTGGACTGCACAGATTCAGTATAACTTGCACATGTATACTACCATATATATATATATATATATATATATATGTGACTATTCATTACAGCATTGTTTATATAGCAAAATGGTGGGAGCAATCTAAGTCATCAATAAGCAACTAGTTAAATTAAGGTCTACCACAGGTTCCACAAGACAGACCTTTCTAAAAAAAATGAGCCACCCGAAAGATATACTGGATGAGTGGGGTGGGGGAATCACAGTATTTGCATGGAGAAGAAAGGAATAGGCCTAACATACACGCACCAGTCTCTGGCTTTTCTGGAAGGATACTCTATAGAAATAATGGTTGTCGGGGGAAGGGAACTGGAATGCAGAAGGAGAGATGAGTCTTAATTTTCTTCTTTTTTTAAAGATTTATTTATTTATTTTTGTACAAGAACTGGGGTACAGGCCAGATGCGAGGGAGGGTGAGAGGATTCACCACAGACAGAGCGGGGAACAGAACAGGCAGACTGACGAAATACACTGAGGGGAGCAGCGGGGGCGCACCATGTGGGACCCTCGCCAGCGGGCCAGGATCAAACGGGTGCTGCAGAGGCTGTGAACAGCTTCACAGCGTGGTGCTCAACCGCCTGTGCCACCAGGGGAGGCCCTTCTTTTTTTAAAAAGATTTATTTTTATACAAGAGCTGGGGTACAGGCCAGAGGCGTGGGAGGGTGAGAGGATTCACCAGAGACAGAGTGGGGAAAAGAACAGGCAGACAACCGAAATACACTGCTGAGGGGAGCAGTGGGCACGACAAGAGAGGTCTGCTGCGCCCTGTAGGAGTCTCGCCTGGCCAGCCGGGATCGAACCCCCTCTACAGAGGCTGTGGGCAGCGTCACACCACTGTGCTCAACCCGCTGCGCCACCAGGGAGGCCCATTAATTTTCTTTATGTAAGCTTTAAAATCTTTCAAAGGTTTTCCTCCTCACCTATAAAATTGATTTGGTTTTTAGTGAATTTATGGGTAGAATTTAGACTAACTTCCATCTCAGACATGGGTTCAAAATGACTCTACAGGGCAAAAACAAAGTGAAGATATGACATAGAATAACTAACTCTCCTAAAGCTTTCTTCCAAAGCGCATTCATTCATTCAATCAATATTTCAGTACCTACTATGCATTCTAGGAATTAGAACAATGTCCAAGTAGTCCAAAAGTCCTTGCCTTCATGGAACTTTAGTGAGAGAAGAGATAAACAGTAAATAATACACTTTGAGTAGTGATAAGTCCTATATAAAAATGCAAGGAACGTGGAGAAAAAGAGAAACTATGGGGGCCAAGGAAAGGTAAATTTGTGTTTTAGGAAAGTTAAGACAGACTCTGAGAATACATGTGAGCCAAAAACTGAACAATAAGCCAAAGCAAGTAATCCTATACACAGCAGGAAGCCCTATGGCTGGAATAAGGTTAGTCTCTTATAGGTTACAGCAAGAAGAGCAGGAGCTGACCTCTAGGGTAGGGAGATCCCAGGTCTTGCAGCTAAAGGAGAAAAGGTCAAAATTTTATCCTAAGTGTAAAGGAGAACTTTGCACAGTTCTGTGCAGGGGAGTGATATGATCTACATCATATCAAACCCATAACACTGCTGCTGCTATTAGTTTCCTTCTAAGCAGGACAGTGGGACTGGCAATAAATGATGGAATGGAACAATGGTTGGGGCACAGGGGGGAGGCAAGGATATGTCTGATTCTTATCTGGTTATCTTTTAAGTCAAGTCTACAGAATTTGCTACCGGATTGTACATAATTACCTGAATGGGACAGCTAGTTGAATACTAAGTCTTAAAAATCATTTTATGCTACTATAATTCTTTCCAGTTCACTGGCATGGTTACATACACGTCATTTTCATGACAAGAGACAGGGAAAGGTCACACTGAGTCAAGATCCAAGTTCTGCCTCTTGCCAATTTTAAGACCCTAGGAATAGGAAAGTAGTTTGGTGGGGTTTTAGATCATAAAACATATTTTCTATTTCACGAGCTTACTGTAGGCCTCTAATGTTGAAGATTTTGCAATGTAAATGATGACCATTTAGAGGCAAAACCATATCAATAGTTGCTTAATGAAGGATACGTTCCCATCACTCAGCACAGTAGAGTCAGTTACCAAGACATTCCACACAGAACTTGCACTGTGGTTGACAGAGAAGAGACTCACTTCATTTTCACTTGTTATGGAAAAACCTAAATGATACAAAAGCAGGGACACTAGAAAAAAACAATCTTCTCATTCCTAGAGACTGAAATAGGTCTTTTAGGCTATAAATGGCGTTAAAGTAAAACCACCTAACTTTCTACAGATAAAACCCAAATCAAGGCACTGTTGATTACAGAGATGCTATCGAGATACTGTCAAGTTCTGTGAGTTACCACTATATTAGTTTAAATGATAAAAAGTAAACACTTAGTGTAAACTAAATTACTGTTCGCCATATGAATTGTGTTATGAGGACTTCAATTTATTGCCCTCTATCATTTCTGTAAGTTTATAAACAAGGTTCCACAAGGAATTGGTCACCCAAGGCTTTCATATTACTGCAGAGTATCCCAGAATCAAGAAAAAAAGTTAAAAATCTTCGTTTACTGCGTATTTAGACTTATCTCGATTATCAATTTGTAGTTATGTTGATAACCTAAGAGTAAATAAAAATTTGTGGCTACCTGATGACCAGCTCCTTTCATCCACCCCTCATTTTCAAATGGGACCTCAATAAACATGACCATCCAGGCCACATGACTGCATCATAACAAAACCACACTGTAAGGCTGCCTTCCAAGGCCTTTAGCCTTAGAATCTGAGACAAACCCATAACACCAATTTCACACTGTGAACTTTCATATTAGAGACTCCAGCGCACAATGAAAACCTGGTCCACTTTTCTAATTTCTAAGAATTTCTACCTCATGAAACGCCTTATTCCTCTAAATCCAGCACCTTTAGGTAAGTGACACCTCCCGTTTCATACTTATTTAATAGCAACTGTATAAAAGCAAAATACATCATCCTCCAACAAGTCTTCCACTTAGCATGCATCTCCATCAAAACTTCAGAACTTGATTAACTACACGTGCATCAGCTTATAGCAAACAAAACGATGCTGCAATTTAATGACTTCAACTCGCATATTGAGCAACAGCGGTTCCACTTATTTCCTTCACTAAAACTGACAAAAACCCTCAAGGTTTTGAGGGGGGGAGGGGTGTGGACTGCAACAAACTTCACATCGGAGCAGTTTAAAAAAATTAAGTTTTTTCCTGAGTTCCATATGTACCCGCCAAAGTATTCATAGCCAGAGGACGGTTTAATAATTAAAGCGCACAAAATCTAGAGGCAAAAAGATTTCACAAGACACCCCATACCTGCGCCCTCCCACCCTCGTCGGGTGCTAAACTATTTCCTTCCAACAGAAACTGTTCCGAAAGAGTTTACCGACCAGAGTTAAAATCACTTCGCGCAGATAACAAGCGGAAGCGTCTTTATCGGAGGTCGCGGAAGCGGGCGCAGCGGGGCGCGGAGCCCCCCACGTTCCTGCGCCCCCCACGTCCCTGCACCCCGGGCCCAGGGGCTGAAGCTGCCCCGGCAGCCGCAGGGCTCGCGGCCCTCCCGGGCCCCAGGGCCCCGCCCGGCTTCACCCTCCCGGTTCATTCATTCTGATCGCAGGGCTGTCGCACCCCCGCGCTCCCGCCGGGGCCAAGAAGGGGGGCTCCGGGGTGCAGGGGCCGCGTCCGGCCACTACCCCGGGCCGGGGACGGAGTCGCCCCGCGATTCCCGCGCGCCCGCGGCCTTCGCCCGAGGGTGGTCGGCGAGGCCGCCTTGGCCCGCGCCCAAGACCAGAGCCCGCAGCCCCGCAGCCCCGACCCCGCCACAGAACGCAGGCCAGGCCCGCCCGCGCGCCGGGCGGCCGCCGCGAAGCCCCGGGTCCCCGCCGCCCGGCTGCCCCGCCGCGGCCGGAAGTCTCCCCGGCGCCCCCTCCCCAGCGCCCGACTTCCCTCGCCGCGGCGGCCAGACCCTCTCCGCGCCGCCTCGGGCCTCCCAGCGCGGGCCGCGGGGGAGGAGGAAGCGAGAGGCCGCGCCGCCCGGGCCGCCGGCCGGGCCGGAGCAGAGCGGGGAGCGGGAGGCCGGCCTGGGCGGTTACCTTGATGATCCTGCGGGGCAGCCCGGCCATCTTGTCAGATCCCGAGTTCGGCCTGTGGTCTGGTCTCCGGCTCCGCTCGCCTCACGCACGAGTGGAAGTCCCGGGCTCCACTTCCGGGGGACGTTGCCGCGCCCGCCGCTGCTGCTGCTGCCGCGGAGGCCCCTCGGGAAATGTAGTCCCTGCTCGGGCGCGGGCGGGCTTCCCTCGGACCTGGCCCCCTCCCCCGCGCTCCCCGCCCCAGCCCCGCTCAGGGGTGGCGGAAGTGACGCGCCGCGGCGGGGCAGGGACTTGGGGGAGGTGGCGCGGGGCGGCGCGGGGCGACGGGGGGCTCCGGCGCCCGTGGCCGAGCCTGCCGCGCGAGGGAGGGACCGGGCGACCGGCCGGCGCCCCGCGGGCCCCTTATGGGCGCCACGCCCGCGCCGGTGGGCGACGTAACAGAGGCCCAGGCGCCGACGCGGCCCGTTCGTGTGTTGCGGCGGGCGTTCGCTCTGCTTGACCGCGTTGCGCGCGGCCTGGGCGCGGCAGCGAACGGCCTCGGCGGGTGAACGCGCCGGCTTCTTCCTCTGAGGGAAGGGAGGACGGAGACTCGGTAGCAAAACTCCTGACTGGGGGTCTCGAAAGTTACCCCGGAAAGCACTAGCCTGAGAGTTGCCATGTTTAAATTTCCCTTGAATCGGGCCTTTGACACACCCCACAGACCCCGAGAAACTCAAGAACTTGTAGCATGTTGGGCGCGAGGGAAAAGAATGACTTTTGAGGGCTCCCTGGTGGCGCAAGGGGTGAAGAAGCACCGCACGAGGAAGCAATCTGAAGCCTGCAGCACGAGTTTGATCCCAGGCCCGCCAAGGAGATACCCACATGGCGCAGCAGACTTCTTCTGTCTTGCCCGCTGCTCCCCTCAACAGTGTATTTCAGTCAGTCTACTTCTGCTCCCCACTCTGTCTCTGGTGAATCCTCTCACCACCACCACCACCCCATCTCTGGCCTGTACCCCAGCTCTTGTATGCATAAATGAAGAAATCTTTTAAAAAAAAAAAAAGTGACTTTTGAAAGTCAGAACCTAGTAGTTAAGACACAGAGTTGCTAGCTGGAGGATTGACCTAAGAAAGAACTAGGGAGTCCAGAATGATCCTTGAAAGAAAAATTACCCTACCTTATCCTACCTGAAGGAGGATTACAGTGAGGATGCGCAAAAGTGAGGTTGTTGGGGGAGCTTTACATGACATCCTGATGCTTGACTGCTGTGGGATAGGCTTCTTGCAGATACTGTTTTACTTCGTTTTCACATTCATCATAGAAAGGTTTTAGCCTCCACTTTACGAATGAGACTTTTTTCAAAGTTGTGTGGAAGTGGAACTGTTTTGTCCTCAGGTAGTTCTGCCAAAACATGGACCCCTTAACTGCTTAACCACAGTGTTTCCTATGTGGTGAATTGAACGAAGGTGTTCCATGTGCTAGGTTAGTGGGTGAGATTACAAAGAGGTTGACACCCTTCCAGGAAGTCTAGTGAAAAATGGAGACAATTAATTGCAATCCAGTGTGTTACGCACTATCATAGATTCTTATAATGTGCTTTTGAGGGAAGAGGCATAAATAGCTTAAGTCAGAGAAGGTTTTCTAAAAGAGAAGTGGAGTCCTAAAGAATGAGTAAAACTAACTCTTCAAGGAAGAACACACCAGGCATAGGAAATAGCATTGAGCTATAAAAGAAAAAGAGCATTAAAGAAAAAGAAACTACATGGGACTCCCTGGTGGTGCAGGGGTTAAAGATGCGCTATCCAACTATCACCGCTGACCACTGCAGCAAGAGTTCCACCCACATGGCACAGCAGACCTCTCCTGCCTCCACAGTTGCTCCCCTCAGCAATGTATTTCAGTAGATCCACCTATTCTGCCCCCTACTCTGTCTCTGGTGAATCCTTTCACCCTACACATGCCCTCCTCTGGCTTACACCCCAGTTCTTGTATGCATAAATAAATCTTTAAAAAAAAAAAAAGAAAGAAATAGAAACTATGAGAGCAAGAAACCTACTAAGCACAATTAAAAAAGTGTTCTGGGCACAGTGCTAAATGATTACATGGGTTATCGCGGTATAATTATAAAGTATATAGGGTAAACTCTTATAACCAGTCCTTTTTTAGATGAGAAACCAACCTTAGCATAAATAATGAGAACTTAAAATAACCAGAAATCTGAAATGAGTGGTTGATGACTAGAAAAATCTGAGAAAGTAAATGACATTGGACAGGGATACTTTCAGAATATTTTAGAGAGGGCCCAAGGATATTCACTCTTATAGGAAGGCGGAATGTGACAATTGGTTAGAAGAATACTGGTCAAGTTATCTAATATTGCATAACAAACCAGTTCAAACTTAGTGCTTAACATAATAAGTCATTTATTTAGCTTTTTAACCTGCAATTTTGACAGGAAGCACTCTGCTTCATGCTATGTCAGCCTGAGCAGCTTGACTGAGGCCAAATCAACTTCAAAGATGGTTCACATAGTTGACAAGTTGGTATTGTTAATTCCTCTGCAAGTGGGCATCCCTGGGGCAGCTTGGGCTTCCTTGCTGCATGGTGCCTGGGTTCCAAGAGTGAATGTTCTAGCAAGCAAAAGCTTAATCCCCTCTTTTGACTTAGCCTTGAAAATCAATTGGCCACTAGTCACAAAAAGCCCTCCTAGTGACAAAAGTAGGAGTCCTGGACTCCACCTCTTGAATATCAGGATTCAAGAAACTTGCAGAGTATGTATGATGAAAGGTATGATTGTGCTAACTTTGGAAAACACAAAGTATTACAGGTATATTAGTCCAATTATGCTTACAAGTCACCTGCTTTAGAATCACGTCTCGGGCTGAGTAAAGTAAGGATTCCTAAACCCTTCCCTCAGAGATTCTAATTTTCTAGGTCTCCAAGGCCTGAGAATCTGCATTTTAAACATAATGGATAATTTTGTTGCATCATAAAATTTGAAAATCATTTGAATAATTAAGAACAAAAATGTATTTTAAAAAGTTACTGTGTGTCTTTGTTATAGGAGCTTCTTGGGTGTCTGGCTTCTACTTACTCAGAAGGCAAAACTCAAGAGACAAGGTTGGTGAAAAGACACCAGGTTTAATCAGGTGCAAGCAAATATGAGGACATGGCAGACTACTGTCCAAAAGGCCATTTCCCTTCACTGAGGAAAAGCCAGGACTTTTATAGGGGAGAACTAAAGATGGGAGAGGCAAAAGGGTGTGCAACAGCAGGATTTCAGAGGAATAGGTAGGGTTTTCCAGCAACTGCATTCACACCACTTTTTCTTCCAAGTTTGGTCTTGACCAGATCTGTCAAGATGCCAGTGGGCATACTTTTTACCACCGTCATGAGGTTGTGGCTTAAGCCTTGTCTTACTTTCAACATCATCTTAGTTTTTCAGCTGGGTTTTACCTGGTTTTCTGGTTTTGTCCGCAAGAAAAGATAAACAGGAGCAGAGCAAGGAGAAGCAGGACAAGACAAAGAATTTATGGTTACCAGGCCGCCGCAATTCCCTCCTCTGTCTCCATCCTCCTGGCTCATTCTTGGTAGGCAATAGGCAGATGTCCGTCTTCTGGAACTACTTCCAGCTGAATAGGAAAAGGTCTGGGGACCTAGAGAGGAGCAAAATCTTCCCCTGGTTAACTTGAGACATAGTCATGTCACAGGGTTATAATCCCATTCTTTATTCCTTTGAATTCAAATTATTTGGAAGTTTTAATGACTTCAGTCTTTCAGAGATAAGGAGGAACTAAATAACTCAGTAGAGAAGGGTGATAGGTCAAAAGAAACATAGTTAACGGTAACCAGAGACTGAGAAAGGGTCTCATTCATCCAAACCAATAAAAACACTGTTTATAACAGGAGCCTAGTGGCTGGGTGCCATTTTTTTCAGGTGCCTTGCCTCTGGGTAGCCCCCTTTTTCTCTGCATTTTCAATTCCTAGGGAGCCTTGGAGCTCAGCTCAAGGTTGTTGTTGTTGTTACTCCTCTGTAAATACAAGTCTCAAAGAGAAAGACAAGTTTTTCCCCCCTTATGGATGCTTTAAGACCTGAAAGCAATTTATCCATTTGGCCTGGATTACACCTTCTTTTGGTTCTTTATCAGATGGGTAGCTAATGTCAGGCAGATGGCAGGTGAGGACTCTGGAGCTTTAATTTAGATTTGGAAACTTGTGATATACTTGACTTGTCTGTTGTTTATTTTCTTCACTGTGTGGTTATTTTCAAGCTTCAATGATATATATATTAATTATTTAGAACACTATATAGCAGTTAGCAAGGGTTATTATTTTTGTAACCTTGATAGAACCAGACATAGCTCTCGTTAGGAAACCAAAATTTTAAAAATTGACAATTTAACTTTTAGCAAAGATTGGTTAACCAGTATGAAATTCTCAGAATAGTAACACATTAAATTATACATTTCATGTCTCTTCTAGTTGTTTGTTTTTATTTTTTCATCCTTTCCCCCCTTGTGAACAGCTCATACTATACTCATCTGGAAAATAAAACCTGAACTTCTGATTCACCCTAAGTCTTGTAGAACAGGATATATTCTAGAAGGACAGGTTGTTACAAGGCTGAGACAAGGCTTATTCTCAAGTTAGAAAGCTAGTTAAGAATTCTACTTACTCTACCCATAAAATATGGAGCCACAAAACTAATTGAATCCTTTCCTTCAGGGAGGAGTATTAGGCAGTTGGAGGACAAAAAATAAAGGAAGAGTTTTTACTCCATAATCTTGTATCTATTGGATTTTGAGCTGTATAAATGTTATCTATTCAAAACATAAAATAAGAATCCAAGGCCTCCCTGGTGGCACAAGGGTTTAAGTCTCAGCACTATGAAGCTATCCACAGCAACTGCAGCATGAGTTCGATCCCCAGCCAGAGAGGTGACCCACGTGGCGCAGCAGACCTCTCTTGTCTCGCCCACTGCTCCCCTCAGCAGAGCATTTCAGTAAATCTGCCTTTTCTGTCCCCACTCTGTCTCTTGTAAATCCTTTCACTCACTGCACTTCTGGCCTGTACCCAGTTCTTGTATGCATACATGAATAAATCTTTAAGCAAAATATAAAATATGAATTCAATTTGCTAATTTCAACAGTCTAAGAAACATTCAAAGTTCTTTAAATGCTGTCCAAGAATGATGTCACATACTCAAAACTCAGCAAAAAGTTGTTGGTCCTTGCTATTGAAAAAATTATTATAGTGACCAGATAGCTCCACTAAGCTGAACAGTGAGTGCAAGGCACTCACAGAAGTCTGACCTAATTAATCTTTGGCTCTTCATCAAGCTCTTATTCATGTTTTTTTCCAGTATCTGTTCCTTCTGGAACTCAAGCTGCAGTGCCTTTGCATTATGATATATGGAAAGAACAAGCAAAATCATGTTGGAGAAATTAGAGGATGCCTGTTCTGTGAGAAACTTCCACTTCTCAGAACACTATTTAATTGCCTCCTTCTCCTTCTCCACCCCCACACCCAAATATTTCAGGTTTGCTACTTTGGTGCTATAACGGCAAATGCATAAGTATGATTTATCTTGTGGCTACCATCTTAGGACATTTGTTAATTCCTCCAAGTCAGGGCTCTCCTCCATCTTTGCCACCCTGTATCAGTGGGGCCTACCATATTGTCTGCTAGATTAGTGCTCTCAAATATTTTTGTCAGGGGAATGAATCGGTGACCACAGGCTGGAATAAGCACCTGTTTGTGGATGGTCTGGCCCAATTCACTCCATACATGAGTGTTTCCAGAAAACACAGTATGTTTATATTCATCCCTAAACTTTTCATCTTGACTTCTTGGAGAGCAACAGAGCTTTTCTACAAAATGTCTTTGCAGAGATAAAACAGAGTAAGTCAGTTTGAAAAAGGTGTATCAGTCATCTTTAATAAGGGCCCTGTTTCAATTCATGAGCAACACTCATCAGACAGAAGTATTTGTTTGCAAGTACCCTTATTGTTTTTTAGAGCCTAGGAAAACTGTTTCGTGGGCGATCAAGACAGAGGTATCTGTGCAAAGAGGGTTCATGAACACTGACTCAGGGAGGAAGTGGGTGGAGGAGGAAGAAAAGGCTGTACACTGATTTTAAAAAGAAAGCAAAAACGCCTGCTGTCTCATATTCATGTCTTCAACAGAAATAGCTGAGTATGTACAAACTTTGCCAACACAACCCCAGCCGTAAGTAGATCTGAGTACGATCATCCAGGGCCAAAGAACACTCTCTCCAGGTAGAAGACTTTGGAAAAGATGAAGCCCAAGGGAATTTGAGTGGTAAGGTTTACTTTGTTTCATGATTTATGCTTTCCAAGGCATTTTGGAATCTTATCGCTCCCTTAAGTGCATATACCACTCCACTGAGTGGTTCTGGACAGCCCTCATTGACTCCACGCTGTTTCTATGAAGGTAAAGGAGGGGGCATTCTTTTCACTGGACCATTTCCCAATGGAAGCAGGATTCCAGCAGATGGTGACTCAGGACATTTGGCAAGATGCCTGGCTGGAACAGGAACTCTGGAAGCCAGGCTCTTCTCTCTGCCTCCGTGTGCCACCCTTACAGGTTCCCAAGAGAACTGATTGCATTCCATGTCCTCCGCCTCCAATTGCTGTGACTCTGCCTGTGATTGCTCACTTGACCTACTCAGCCTAAAGGGTTTCCCCATTTCTTTCCATCTGGGCACCCCACCCAGAACTCTTTTCATTCCACTCCCATCATCTTGCTTCTTCCCCCACCATCAGCTGTGTAGCTCAAGTCCTGTTGATTTCTCATATGCCTCTTAGTTGTGTCACTTGGTTTCTGTAGACAACTGTCCACCTGGTTCTGGCACTAGTAGGAATGTTTTGAAAACTTTGTTTTTCTGCTGAGTATGATGATTTGACATCCAGCATACTCTAGAGCAAAGTTTTCAAAACTCATTTCAGAGGCTACTTAACATACAGGGTCAACCCCCAACCTCACCCCACATCCACTCACCATCAACATATTGTGAGTTCAAGTCTCATGCCTGTGTCTTTAAGAAATAAGTCCCTAAGGACCATTGAAGGGCCCAAAGCTTGAGAGTTGCTTTTCCATATTATCTAATCTGCTTGATTGACTGAAAAACACTGCCAATGGGATCAGCGGGTGAGACAGGAGAGGGCGGCGAGCCATGTGGGTTAGCTCCCTGGCCGGAGCTCGAACTTGTGCTGCAGTGGCTGCAGATAGCTTCATAGTGCTGACACTTAACCCTTTGCACCACAAGGGAGGCCCTCCTCTTATTTTCTCATTCCAAACCACTTGATATATTTTTTTAACCTACTGCTTACTTCCCATCACAACTTGCCAAAGTCAACCTCAGACAACAGTCTGACAATTTTATTGCTACTTTGAGTAGCCTATGATGGATCCCATCCACACTCTCTAACACCATCATTTTCACAACTTATTGCCTTTTCAGTCACTTCTTGTTGCTTTTTAACCCTTGGTTCCCTACTTTGTCTGCCTGTTGGTCACTCTCTCTCATCCAGGAAGTCTTCACCATCCTCTGGGAAGTTTTCTCTGTATTTCCCAAAACATCCTATACATTATGTTCTAACAAATGTTCACAGTAATGATCTGTTTATCTATTGGCCTCACCACATGTGTCCCCCTCTAAGGCATGGAGTACCATGTTCTTTGCTGTGTGTTCACTCATAACATAATGCCTAGCACCTATTCCCTCTTTCCTGTCTTCCTGCCTTCACTCATTGTCTGCCTATTATATGCCAGATCCACAATAGGAGCTGGCTTTTAAATATGAGCAAGGTAGGATGTCTGATCTTGAACTTACTTTCTAATAAGGGAAACATACATTTAAACAAATGTATATAATTTGATGTGATAAATTCTGTAGGTGTGTGGAAGATACCGTGAAGAGTATAAGATACAGGAAAGGCTTCGCACAATTATTCAATTTAATGATTGACTTCTACACATCAAGCACCATACTAGATTCTGCTGGTAAAAACTGAAGCAAAATCAGACATTGAATCATCCTCAAGAAGAGTGGATAGAAACATTAATAAAATTATTGTAAATGAGGAATGTTATTTTAGTCAGGTTTCCTGGTTGCAGGCCTAGAAACTGAGATTAACTTAAAAGGAAAAGGAATTTTTTTTGGGGGGGGGGGCTGTTCATCTGATCACAGGAAAGGCTACCCACCAGGCTCTGAACACAGAAGGATGCTGACATTCAGGAGCTGGGCACTGAAGGGAGCCAGGAACTCACCTTCCAGGTATTCTAGACCTACTGGACCTACTGTCTTGGATGTCTGTAGCTATCTAAAGCATTTCATTCAATAACTATTGAAGGCCTATAATAAAAACAAGCACAGTTCCAGATGTTGAGTTTGTGTCAAGAATATAGTATGGTAGATACTTGTTCCCTGCTCCTGCGGAGCTTGCCTCTTAGTGTAAAAAAGCAACACATTTGTACATTAACCAAGGAAACGAATGAAAATATAATGTCGTGTAATGGAAAATGTTATGAAGAAAAATAAAGAAGGGCATTGAGAGACTATTTTAATGATGTAATCCTCTCTGAGATGATAGTTGATATTTGCTCAAGACCTGTAAAAAGTAAGGCAGTGATCACAACAGGTGAGAGAAAAGTATTGATGACAACTAGAAGAGAGTGCAACAGCCCTGAGACCTTTTCTTTCCCATAAGATAGTAAGTCAAGGTCTCCAATTTTGCAAATTCTCCCTTCTATAATGAGTAGCCAACGCAGTTCTGGGAATGCAACGCCCGGCTTTCCGGTTGGAGGGCATCCACACTTCCCCATTTCTAACATCAAATCCACCCCCACACCCTTCAGTGCTTCTCTGAAATGCCTCTATCCTTAATAAAACTTAACTCACCCACGGAGGGAGAGATCGGGAGTTCTTCTATTTTTAATTTAATTTAATTTTAAAAAAGATTTATTTATGTATACAAGAGCTGGGATACAGGCCAGAGACGCATGGGGTGAGAGGATTTACAAGAGACACAGTGGGGAACAGAACAGGCAGAATGACTGAAATACACTGCTGAGGGGAGCAGCGGGCGAGTCAGGAGAGGTCTGCTGCGCCATGTGGGTATCTCCCTGGTGGGGGCTCGAACTCGTGCTGCAGTGACCGCGGATAGCTTCATAGTGCGTTGCTTAACCCCTTGCGCCACCAGGGAGGCCCTCTTCTATTTTTTAGTATAAAATTAAAATGCATTTGCTACTTTCTAAGCTTGTGTGCGCGAGGCAGTGATTTTGTTACGCAGTAACGCGGCAAAGTTGCAGCGGAGAGCAGAAACTAAACACCCCAGTGCATAGACTACACCCTCACGGCCGCGCTGCACCCTGGGCTCTTCCCCGAGGAGACTACATTTCCCAGGGTGCCTCCCGGGCCCGGAAGGCGCGTAGAGAGGCGTCTCGGAGCACCCGGATTGGGGCAAGATGGCGGCCTCGTGGTGACCAGCTGTCAAGGTAACCGCTACCCTCTCTTCCTCCGGTCAGGGAGTCCTTAGAAGTTGGGTTGGCGCAGAAGGTTTATCGGCAGGTGTTAAGGTTATGTATTTGTCCTTCGCGCCCGGAGAAATCCGCTGGTGTCCAACTGAAGGGCGGGCGCCTGGCCGCACGCTTCCTTTGGGACTCGTCGTGCTCCGGCCAGACGCCCAGTAGAGCTTAACGGAGCTTGTGGTTCAGAGACCGCTCTTGGTGGGTCTTTCAGGTCTCCCCATGGTTATTAGATTGGTGCTTCTGGTACCAGGTTCCTCAACCTCAGGCCCTCCGAAGCTCGCCACAGCTTTTGCTTCAAGGTTGAATTCCAGGCCAAGGGACTTAACCCTCCGAAATTCTCTCCCAGGAGTGCATAATGTTTTGTTCCTGAGCTTGTGGTCAGAAGGCATGGGCTTGTGTTCCACCCTTGCTGTCTATTAGTGGACAAGTAAATCGTTTGACTTCCCCGAGCATTTTGTGAATGACTGGCTCTGAAGTTATTGGAAGCAAGTCTTTGAAATTTTGTACTTTGCTTTCATCATGAATGAAAGATACCTCACATTGTTAATATGAAAGTAAAATGAAGTGGTAGTGAAAGCATCTTGGAAAGTTAAAAACCTAAAAGTTATATAAGATGGTAAAATTTTATTTGGGACTTACGAGTGTTTGTATGTAGTCCTCTAAATTTGTATTTAATAGACCAAGAATGACCTTGTTTAATGTTTGTTTAATCAGAAACAGAATGTACTTCTAGTGAAGTACATTGGAAAGATTTGTTTCCAGTGGAAAGATTTGTTTGGTATCTGGGAGCTTGTACACAGACATATTAACATGGAAGGTTACTCTGTGTACTATATGTGTGCCTAACAATTTCTAAGGGTAGTTATATATTTACTGAGTACTCTTTTTTTTTTTTAAGATTTATTTATTTATGCATACAAGAGCTGGGGTATAGGCCAGAGATGCGGGGGATGAGAGGATCCACCAGAGACAGAGTGGGGAGCAGAACAGGCTGATGGACCGAAGTACACTGCCAGGGGAGCAGCAGGCGAAGCAGAAGAGGTCTGCTGCGCCATGTGGGGTATCTCTCCAGCCAGGGATCAAACTTGTGCTACAGTGGCTGCAGCAAGCCTCACAGGTTGTGTCTTAACCCCTTGTGCCACCAGGGAGGCCCTGAGTGAGTACTCTAGGTGCAAAGAACTGCGCTAGGTGCTGAGAAGTTTGCATTTAAGAGAAATGGTAAAGGACCTGGTGGTAATCTTGTATGTTGACGATGGGGCTGGCTCTTTGTCCTATATTGCATGAAAATGGAAAGTTGTTTAAAAGTCTTACTTATGTGACTGTAGTTCTAGGTAAGAATTCCTATCGTGTTCTTTTAATATTCAATATATTGTGTCATTTTAACTTACCAGAGGTATCATTTTTTGTTTCTTTATCTCTTAAGCAGGGATGAAAATAGGTTCTTGATTCACCATGGCACTAGCAGCAGTAAAATGGGCCATATCAAACAGAACTATTTTGAAACATTTATTTCCAATTCAAAGTAAGTGGGGTTTTTTTTAAATGTTTATAAGACTTAAGTTTTTCAAATATTATAGAAGTACATGTCTATTATAGAAAATGTAAAGCATTTCATTATTGTATATACTTAATAGCAAGAATGTTCGCAGTTATGGAAAGGAGAGAAAACTACACTGTCTATCAAGAAAATGAATAAATTTGATACATTTTTACTATGACTTTCACAGCTATTACCAACATGCAAAGATCTTCACATTGAAGGTGGTAAAAAGCATGTCACAGCACAGTATCTATTGTAAGATTCCATTTATGCATTTAAAAGATGATCAACCGTGTGTGTGTGTGTGTGTGTGTGTGTGTGTGTGTGTGTGTATTTATATGTATAAATATAGGGTAGGTGGTATGGATCAAACAGTTTATTTGTGTAGACTAACTGGGATTTAGCTGAGAGCAGGTGTGTGATAATGAACTTTCTCTGCTTGTGACCTTAATCTCTTCCTTCGTGTTTCCTGTTTATCCATTTGTAATTGAATGTTTGTTTAAGGGGGAAAGTGTTTGAAGACTAAAGTAAAGAATATAAGTGAAAGTATTTTCTAAGAGAAGAAGAGATTGCTAAGAGACTTTAGATATAAACAAGAAATCAGAGTGAAAATAAACTATAGTCAGCTTTTGATTATCTAGGAGCATTTTTGTTGAGACTTAGGAGAGATACCCCTGCTGCTTATCTTCCGCTTTGCCTTGGCAGGAACCCAACCCAAAGACTGATGGGAAATCAGACTTAATCAGCATTTACCTAGTCTGTGTCCTGAAACAACCATTAGTTCTCCCTCAAGTTAATTTGAAAATCCGTTAATCTGTCCCTGGATAAGTAAAAATTGTCTATATGTACTTTACCTTGAAATTGCAAATTTTACAGTGTCTTATTTTGTTTTCTTCAGTGATTCCCATATATGAGAGGTTATAAATAAATTTTTTTAAAAAGATTTATTTATTTGTGCATACAAGAACTGGGGTATAGGTCAGAGGTCTCAGGGTTGGAGAGGATTCAACAGAGATATAGAGTGGGGAGCAGAACAGGCAAATGTACTGAAATTCCCTGCTGAGGCATGCATTGAAGGAGACAAAAGAAGTCTCTTGCATCATGTGTGTTATCCCCCTGACTGAGGATTGAACTCATGTTGCAGTGGCTGGTGATAGCTTGATAGTGCTGTGTCTTTAACCCCTGTGCCACCAGGGAGGCCCTAAATAAATGTTTATTGAAATGATCTGAGTGAATTATAGTTTTCAAACTATCTAGTTAACTAAGGATTAATTTAGATTATCCCAGAAAATTATTATATTATCACATGATCACTTAATTCTCCTAACTACCTAACTTCTTGCATTCTGACGTCCCTTATTCTTTTATTTAGTCAGTCCTCTCATTGAAGGCAAAGCATTATTGTTATTTTTAATGAAAAAGGAGGACATGATTAGAGGCAAATTAAAACCATGATTAAGTGAAAGAGTTCATTGAGCAAAAATAAAAAGGCCTATATTCCAGAAGAGGCATTTAAAACTTTCCATATAGTCAACTTAGCATTGTAGAACATTGTGGTTTTTTAAGCATATTAAACCATTTGATATTTATAACTTTGATTAATATATGTGGTAAGCCATGTGGTATTATTTCTTTCTGAAGATGAAAGAACTTGAGTTCTCAGGCTCTTAGAAACTTACCCAAAGTAGCAAATCTGGTAAATGAGAGCTGTGATCAGAACCTGATGCTCTGCATGTTAATTAGTCCAATATACTTTCTCTTGTACCTCCTTTCATGTAGTAACTTAAAATACTGAGCATTTGAAAGTTAAGTGGGACTATCAGCTTTTATAGATCTTATCAAAATGCAATTATATATATATACACACACATACGTACATACATAAAACTTACAGGCTGTACATATATAGATATGTTACAAGAGTAGCTTACTAGTTACGGAGAGCTAACTGCTTTGAAATTCTTTTTGGCAGATTGAATTGCCTTGGATTGATCGATGTTAACTTTGGCAACAGTCCTAATTGCAGATACACTTTAGAGATATTGAAGATTTGGTTCCATACCGCCGCAGTAAAGCGACTATTGCAAATAAAGCGAGTCATGTAAAAGTTATGCTTGGAAGTTGCTGAAGGTTGGGGGCTATGGCAGTTTCTGAAAATAAGACCACAATGAAGTTTGACACATCGACTAACTCTTTCATGAAATTTTTTCTGTAGCGTGTGATGTTTGATAGCATTTTTACTCATAGTAGAATTTTCAAAATCAGTCAGTGCTCTGAAACGCTGCTGCTGCTGCTTTATCAGCTAAAGTTATATAATATTCTAAATCTTTTCTTATAATTTCAGCAGTGTTGACAGCATCTTCATTAGGAGCAGGTTCTATTTCAGGAAATGACTTTCATTGCTCATCCATAAGAAGCAACTCCTTACCAGAGGTTTATCATAAACTTACAGCAATTCATTCACATTTGCATGCTCCACTTCTAATTCTATTCTCTTGCTGTTTCTACTACCTCTGCAATTACTTCCTCTACTTAAGTCTTGAATCCTTAAAGGTATATCCGTGATGGTTGGAATCAACTTTTTCCAACCTTGTGTTAATGTTGATATTTTGACTCCTTCCATGAATCATGTGTGATCTTAATGGAATCTTGAATGGTGAATCCTTTCCAGAAGATTTTTAATTGATTGTGCCCAGATCCATCAGGGGAACCTCTATTTTATGGCAGCTATAACCTTACAAATTCTATTTCTTTTAAAGACTTATTTATATAAGAACCATTGTACAGGCCAGATTCATGGGAGGGTGAGAGGATTCACCAGAGACAGAGCGGGGAACAGAACAGGCAGACTGACGAAATACATTGCTGAGGGGAGCAGCGGGTGCGACAGGAAAGGTCTGCCATGCCATGTGGGACCCTCGCCAGCCAGCTGGGATCGAGTCAGTGTTGCAGAGGCTGCGGACAGCTTCACAGCGTTGAGCTCAACTGCCTGCGCCATCAGGGGACTCCCACAAATTCTATTTCTTAAATAATAAGACTTGAAAGTGGAAGTTTACTCCTTGATCCATGGGCTGCAGGTTGAATATTGTGTTAGCAGGCATGAAAACAGCTTTAATCTATTTACACATCTCCATCAGAACTCCTTTGTGACCACATGCATTGTCCAGAAGCAGCAGTATTTTGAAAGGAATCTCTTTTTCTGTATAGTTGGTCCTAATAGTGGGCTTTAAATATTCAGGAAACCATGTTGTAAACAGATGAGCTGTCACTCAGACTTTGTTCCTTTTATAGAGCATGGACAGAGTAGATTTAGCATAATTCTTGAGGGCCCTAGGATTTTTGGAATATAAATAAGCGTTGAGTTCACCAGCTGCATCAGCTCCTAACAGTAGAGTCTGCCTGTTCTTTGAAGCCAGTCACTGACTTTTTTCTAATTATGACAGTTCTGGATGGCACCTTTATCCAATATAAGGCTATTATGTCTGCATTGAAAATCTCTTATTCAGTGTAGCTACCTTCATCAATTATCTTAACTAGATTTTTTGAATAACTCACTGCAGCTTCTACATTAGCACTTGCTGCTTCATCTTGCACTTTTATGTTGTGGAGGCCACTTCTTTCCTTAAACTTCAAGAACCAACCTCAAATTTTTCTTTAGCAGTTTCTTCTCCTTTCTCAGTCTATAGAATTGAAGAGAGTTACAGCCTTACTGTGGCTTAGGCTTCGGCTTAAGGTAATGTTCAGGCTAGTTTCATCTTCTATTCAAACCAATAACTTTTCCTCCAGATCAGCAATACAGCTTTCACTTTTTTATCATTTATGTGTTCATTGTAGTAGCACTTATAATTTCTTTCAAGAACGTTTCCCCTTTTGTTGTTATTTTTTTATTGTTTGTTTTATATTTTTCTTTTTTCAAGAACTTTTTCTTTGCATTTAAAACATGGTTAGCTGTTAGATGCAACAGGTCTAACTTTTCATCTATTTTGGCTCTTGACATGGCTTCCACACTACGCTTAATCAACTTTTGATTTAATTTGAGAGACTTCCTCTAAATTAAATACTTAGAAACCATTGTCAGGCAATAAGTGGCCTAATTTCAGTATTGTTGTGTCTTGGGAAACCAGGAAGCCTGGGCAAAGGGAAAGAGAGACAGGGGAATGACTGGTCAGAACACACATTTATCAGTTAAATTTTTTGTTTTATATGGCCTCCATAGTAGATATTAATGTAATAATGAAAAACTTAGAAATATCATGAGAATTACCAAAATGCGACACAGAGACATGAAGTAAGCATATATTGTTGGGAAAAATGGCACCGATAAACTTGCTTGAAGTAGAATTGTCATAATCCTCAGTTTGTAAAAAACACATTATCTGTGAAGGGCAATTAAAAAAAAGTGCGGGCCTCCCTCGGTGGTGCAGCGGTTGAGTGCTGGGCTACGAAGCCATCTGCAGCCTCTGCAGCGCCTTTTCTATCCCTGGCCACCAGCAAGGGTCCCACAAGGCGCACAGAACCCTCCTGCCGCGCCCGCTGCTCCCCTCAGCAGTGTATTTTGTCGGTCTGTCTGTTCTGTTCCCCGCTCTGGCTCTGATGAATTCTCTCACCCTCCCGCGCTTCTGACTGTACCCAGTGCTTGTATAAATAAATAAATCTTTAAAAAAAAAAAAAAAAGGTGCGGGCCTACCTGGTGGCACAGGGGTTAAAGTCTCAGCACTGTCAAGTTATCGCCACCCACTGCAGCCTGAGTTCAATCCCCTGCCAGAGAGCTAACCCACATGGTACATCAGATCTCTCCTGTCTCGCCCACTGCTCGCTTCAGCAGTGTTTTTCAGTAGATCTGCCTGTTCTGCTCCCTCCTTTGTCTCTGGTGAATCATCTCACCCCCCTCACCTTTGGCCTATACCCCAATTCTTGTATGCTTAAGTAAATAAATCTTTAAAAAAAATAAAGTGCAATAAAACGTGTTTTGAATCTCTGATACTTTTCATATCCAGAACTTTCTCTTGCTGAAATGTCAGATATTTTAAAAATATTAATTCTGTAGAAATTAACATTTTAAAGGCAGGTTGGTAATTATTTTTCTTGTTAATAGGCAATAGGGAACATAGTAATGAAGAAGCTCTAAATATTGTTTGAATGTGTGAAGCTAGCTTTACATTTATGTGACAACTTATGCTTAAATTAACTAAATCTATTTTACTGCTTGGGATTTTTGCAGATGGAGCTTTATATTGTATTTGTCGTAAGTCTACATATTCTTCTCTTCCAGATGACTATAATTGGTATGTATTAAAATTTGGTTGAAAAAAGTAACAGTTTATTAGCTGTATCTGAAATGTTTTATTTTTTGATGTTTTCTACTTTTTTCCCCTGATTATTCTTAATTTAATTTTAAAGAATTATTTCAATGTTATTATTTACCCAGTTCTGGGCTTGTAAATGTTTTAACTAACTCATAGCAGGAATCTAGAAAACCTAAATAAGAGACCAGGAAAAAGAATAACTATAAGAAAGAAAAAATCAAAATCAACAAACAACTATGAACCAGAGACACACTGTGGGGGGGGGAGGGGCAAAGGGAAAGGAGGTATTGGGGTCAAAATAAGGGGGTTACAATTGTATGGGTAATATAAACATAAAATTTCAAAAAATAAAAATAAAAAATGTGATTGTGAATCAGTGAATATTTAATTTGTTGTAAGATAGATATACTAATAGAAATGTACATGTTTTCTTCCCAAAGCATTCTTTAGTTTTTTTGGGGAAAGTTAATAAGCTTTTATAGTCTTCTCTTGGGGTTCATATCTATTGCTTACATACTTATCTTTTGTTTGATGTTGAATAGTCCTAAATTACAAATACTTAATTTAGCCACAATTTATTTGATACTTGTTTAAGTCTAGTCACTATACTAAGAACAGCATATGAATATTATGTTCTTTTTTCTCTGTAGCGGAGTCTGATATGCAGACACTGCAATGTAACTTCTTAAGCTACATTGTTTTTATTGCAGATTTTAGTAAATAATATATTCTTCCCTCTGGACACTAGTTTTAGTTGTACTTTAGTAAGTACTAAGAGAGTGATGAAACTAGACTAGGTAATAGGTAACACTTTGGAACCTGAGAAGGTTGATTCTTGTACCTGTTTTGCATATGTAAAGTGCCATTCTTCATCAAAAATCATTTGATAACATGTTTATTATAGCCATGTTATGGTAGTCAAGCTTAAAATTGTGGTGAAACAACCTAATCTGTAATCCAGTATTAGATTAAATATTCTTTATAGTTTAATTGCTGGTCTGATTCCAATGTGGTTGGTGTTAAAATCCTGGAAAGTGAGGTTTTTAGACGTCTGGAGAATATATACATTTAATAAAATCTGAAAGTCATGCTTCTTAGAATGTATGTGGATCTAAGAACAATAGGAGTTGACAGAGTATTTGAAAAACAGGCTTGCTTAGTATATCCACAGAAATGAGATCCAGCTGGAGCATTCCTAGGAAAAGTATTTAGAGCAATATTGCCCAAAATATCTTCTTCTGAGGAATATTAATGGGAGCAGGGAGGAATAATATTTAGTAATTCCTAAGTGCACCACACAGAACCCTTTTTATGGGAGGCTTATAGTTGTACTGTTCTGCCAAAGGTACTTGGAGAAATTCTGATCTAGAAAATGTACTCAAGCACAATCTTCATGATTAGAAATTCAAGTGATCCTTAACCTAGAAGATTATGTACTTTGATCTTTAACTTTAATAATTTAATCAAGCAATGCCCTCCGTACAACTTTCGAAGGTAGTTTTTAGATAAGGAAAAGAAGTTCTAAGAATAGTGGTAAGCAAGCATAAACGTCTCTTCCAAATATTTGGGTAGTCTAAAAACAAATAATTTGAAGAATAATTTAGATAAAATGCTGAGTAGTGCAGTAGGGTTTTTTTGTGATGGTTAAACTGACATTTTTTGTGGGGTGGTCTGAGTTGTCCCCTATGAGGTGGCATCTGTTCTTCAGGGATTCATGATTAATTAATCTTAGCTCTAAGAATAATTATTTTGCCTTGAATATAACCGTTTCTAAAGGTTTTTTCTTTCTTTCTTTTTTTAATATAGCAAAGTAGAGCTTGCTTTGACATCTGACAACAGGACAATAGTATGCTACCACCCATCTGTGGACATTCCATATGAACACACAAAAGTATGTATGAGAAAATCTTACAATGTTGTTAGACATATTTGTGCTTCCTTACCATTTTCAAAGAGGGGTTTGTTTGGTTTTCTCTTTTTGCTTTGGATCTTATTTTGACTTTTGAATTTTACTGGTTTGATTTTTTTTTTTTTTGTGGGACCCTTGCCGGCTGCTGGGGACCGAACTGGTGCTGCAGAGGTTGCGGGCAGCCTCACAACCCAGTGCTCAACCGCTGCGCCACCAGGGGAGGCCCGTTACTGTTTTGAATTTTTTTAATTCTTTTTCATCGTTTTTCTTTGAAGGCTTTTCTCAGTATACAAAATGAACCATTTAAACACAATTACGGTGTCAATTTCCTGTTCTAAAATTAGGTAGATTTCTGTTTGGGAATCAAACACACCTAGTATAAACTTACAAATACATTGTCTCAGACTACCTTATAATCTGATAAATAATGAAAAACTTTTGCTTAAGGTGTTGTTTTATAACTTTTATGTTATATTGGTTCTGATAACCTTTCAATCTTCAGTAAATTTTTCTTTTTCTTTTTTTTAGGTCAGTCTTTTTCTAATGGGCCTATATGGGCATAGGTTTTAAGTGTCCTCGTTTAATTTTTTCCATATTTCTTCAAAAGCCAGGTACCAGATCAAGGAGGGTTTTTTAATTTATTTTAGCTTTACCTAAATTTGTTTATTGTTTTATATTTGAAATACTTTCTTCTATTCTCTAAGCCTTCTTTTGCTATATATGGTAATGTTTGATTTGTTTTTTGCACAGAAAGTTATTCAGTGAATCAAGTCATCATATAGTGCATTTAGAATTACCATTTTTAAAGATCACCATTAAGGCCAGAGTCCTGGTTGCTTTGTCAAAGTAGATTAATGTTATTTTGCTAATCTTTACTCACTTTTTAACCTCACCATTTTGTCTTCCTGCTTTGTGTTCTAGCCAGGTATCACAGGCAATAATCCAGTGCTCTTTGATTTAATATTTTGAGGCAGTGTCATAAAAATATTACTCAAAACAGACAAAGCCTTAACCTCATGAAGCTTATATTTTAGTGGTAGGAGATAGAAAAAAGGGAAAAACCACTTCTGTTATCTGTTTTGTTCCCTGCTATTTCTATAGCATCTGGAACACATTGCTCTTGGTAGGTGCTCAGTAAATATTTGTTGATTAAATGAGTACGTTTATTCCTTGTGCTTCATGCTTACTGGTTTCAGTCTGTTTTAAGGCTAAGAGACATTGATGTGGGAAAGCAGAGGATTTTTTATTTCTCAAGTAATACATTACAAATTGGGCTGCATAATAACATTCTTGAACTCATGTTAGTGTTAGAACATTCTTTTTGACCAAATTTATAAATCTTGTGAAGATAGTATATAGCATTAAATAAATATTCTCAAATATAACTTAAAATTTAGACTTGACTTTCCTCTTTTCTCAATTTGGAATTAGGTCCTGTCTCTAATGGATCTTTTTGATTGTCTAGACACTAAGCATGTGGCATACAATTTAGGCTGACATTTCTTAATGTTTTATAAAGTTGACTTTTTAGTTTTATTTTAGTTTTTCTTTTTAACTTTTACATTCATGTACCTTTTCTTTGAAGTTTGATCAAGGAGATCAAGTACTATCTAAATACCAATTTTGAGTCCGCCAGAGATTCTTGGTACAGAATTTGAAGAATCCATTAATGCCAGTGTCTTTATCTATGTGCCTGGAAGAATAATGTTTTTAATCATACAAAAACAGGGAGAATTTGTAATATACTAGAATTGAGTCTGCTTGGGAATGGGAAGAGAATCAAGAGACACTTGACAATATTAACTTTTGAAATAATATTTAAAACATTTGATCTTTAACAATATTAACTTTTGAAATAATATTTAAAACATTTGATCTTTAACATTTGATCTTTAACATATCTTTAACATAAAAGAGAAAAAACTATAGACTCTAATCTTGTATTTTCTGGCACCCTTCAGGGTCTAATAATAACTTGCAAAGATACTTATTAATATTTCATCTTACATACCAGAGATGTTCTTTTAACATTACTTAAATGTCTAAGGAGTATTTATTCTTTAAGATAAATTCACATCACTTTTTTCCTGTTTGACGCCTTAAAAGAAATATTAATAACTAGCTACCATTGTTGAACTCATGCAGTATGAGAAGTAGCTAAGCAAACTGTGTATTATTCTTTCACTCAAACCTTTTCCTACCCTATTAGGTAGATATTACTTCTCTCATTTTATAAAAAGGGAAATTGAAAACTTATATAACTTATCCAAGGGCATACAGAGTAAGTGCTGGAATCAGAGGTCAATATTTAAGTTTTTAAATGCTTCATTATACTTCTACTTCTTCCATACTCAGTAAGTGGTTCCTTATTTTTACTTATGTCAAATTGTTACTTCTCACTTTGAGGGCCTTTCATAATCTGGTTTCTCAAGATCCATTTTTTTTAAAAAGATTTATTTATTTATGCATCCCAAGAGCTGTGGTGTAGGCCAGAGCTATGGAGGAGGTGAGAGGATTTACCAGAGACAGTGGGAAACACAGCAGGCGGATCTACTGAAATACACTGCTGAGGGGCGCAGCAGGCGAGACAGGAGAGACTGGAGAGGTCTGCTGCGCCATGTGGGTTAGCTTCCTGGCTGGGGATCGAACTCATGCTGCAGTGGCTACCAATAGCTTCATAGTGCTGAGACTTAACCCCTTGCGCCATTCCTCTTTATTGTGTTATCTGACGTTTTCTTCTTTACTCGCAATGTTTGTTATCCTTGTAGAGCACATTTCTGCACTCTAACAAGGCTGTGACTTAGCTGCTGTTCTTAAAACTGATGTCTTTATTTCATGTAATAAGCTGAAGTATGTACTATAACATTTAATATAGTGGTAGAAGGTGGTAATTATCATTAGTAGTATATGAATGTAAAGTCTGATTATAAATTCAGATTTCAAGTGCTTCGTGAGCTACTGTTACTGATTGGAATATACCATATCACTGTGTTGGGGAAGAGATGAGATTAATGTCGTTGGGGGAAAAAAAACTACTGAAATTATAAAAAATTATCATTTGATGGCATTTCATTCACTTAATGAAAACAATGAAATTTTTCCTGCTTCCTTGAATGTAAGAAATGTCATTTTCAATAAAAGGTTTTTCATTATATCTCAACTTTAATGATATATAAGGTAGAGACTAGAAAAAAATAATGGGCAAAATTTATCATTTTGAGAAATAGAAACAATAATAATAAATACTTTATTATTGGGGGAAAATACCTTTAAATAGAACTTTATTATTGGAAAAGAAGCCCAAAACTTGATATGAGAAGGAAATATTACTGAGATTTTAATGAATAACATAACTAAGTGAAACTCTGATCATTTACCTACCCTGAGGAACCATAATCAATTACTGCGTGTAATGATTATGTAAACTCAGTCAAAGGCTGATCAACATTCCTACATTTTGATACCTTTCATTGATGATTATTTTGTAGCCTATCCCTCGACCAGACCCTGTACATAATAATGAAGAAACACATGATCAAGTGCTAAAAACCAGATTAGAAGAAAAAGGTGAACACTTTGAGCAAGGACCCATGATAGAACAACTTAGCAAAATGTTCTTTACTACTAAGCACCGTTGGTATCCTCGTGGACAGTAAGTTTTCTTTTCTTCAACTCCCACTAAACATTGTAGAAGAACACATAACTTTTCTTGCATTAACAAACTTCTGAGGTTATATTCTGCATGGGGAAATTAATATCCAGTATGGTCAACTACTAAATTGTATGTAGAAGTCTACATATAATGTAGCAAAAATGAAATAGTACTTCTCTTTTCCTTTATTTTAATGGCAGAAGTTAACCAAAGCTGTTTTCTTCTTTTGATTCTTTTCTTTCATAACTTCCTTATCAAAACTAAGAGGTAACTTTTTAAAATTGTTTATATTTGAGATGCATTGTTCTTATTCACTTAGTCACCTAGTAACTTGCATTGGGTTGGTACATTTGTGGTAGGACACGTTTATGGAATTAATGACTATACATTCATCAAGTTGCTTTATTAACTGCTGGGCAATCAAAAGCATAATCCTTGTTTGCAAGTTGGTAATAGTTAAGGAAGAAAGATAGAGTAAAAAAACAAAATCAAATGACTGAAGTTTGAAGAATGGTTAGGAGGTACCCATGGGGATGACAAAAAGGCTCCCCAGGTAGAAGAGTATTTGAGACAGATTATGCTGAAGAAAGTTAGTTCAGATTGGATAGAACCCAGAATAAAAGGTGGGGATGTAGGAAGGGTATTCAGAGGGTTTTATGTTGTGTTGAGTTTAGATTTTGTTTTCATTTTACCAAGTTTTAAGAAGCAAAATGCCAAGAAGAAAACCAAGTAGACCCTGTACCTGGGATAAGGTCATACATACATGGAAAGATTCCAGTCAGGAAGACATGCTGGAAACTATTATGACTGTCCAGATGAAAAATGAAAGGATCAGCAGAAGAAATAGAAAAGGGAAATATAAAAGTAGAGACTGTGTTTAATAGGCAGTAGAGGTAACCTGCCTGGGTATTAATGGGAAGACATATGAAGCTCCTCAAGTTTCTAACAGGTGTTTGGGTGGATGGTGTTGTTCATGCAAGTGGGGAAACAGGTTTGGGAGTAAGGTAAGTGAATCTATTGTTGGTTATTTTGAGTCCGAAGATGTGTGAATCATCTGGTGGGATGCAGTTCTGAAAGCAGGTAGGTAATTGGATCTGGAACTCGATTGTTTTCCTTTAGAAGGTTATTTCTCCCTTAATTATAAAAGAGATTACTCAGAGGTCGGCTTCACAGTCCATACATCACATTCAGAATTTCATTCTGAGACTTTATTTTTTAAATTTTTTTTTGAACTTTGTATTTATTTTTGTGTTACCTCAATAATTTCTTTTCTCTATATATACAGAATATGTATAAATGTATATAACTTAAAAATAAATTTACATACATATTGGGGCTTGCATGTTCATACTTTTTAAAATGGTGTAGGCGCAAGCAAAAAAAATAAAATAAAAATTGGAGATCTCAGTCTATAACAGAGGGTTTTAGCCTCAATTGTGAAGCATATTGCCATGAATGTATTGATTTTTAAAATCAGCAGATTCAAGATTGCCATTCTTAGTTCTTACATTGCTGGTGTGCTTTAAAATAGTTTTTTCATTTTGAAGACTTTTTTAAGGGCAGGTTTGGGTTCACAGCAAAATTAAGAGGATGGTACAGAGATTTCTCGTCTACTCTCTGCTGTCTACCCATATAATCATAGCTTCTCTCATTATCAACATCCCCCACCAGAGTGGTACATTTGTTACAGTGATAAACCTATATCATAATGACCTCTAGTCTATACTTTTTTTTTTTTTTAAAGATTTGTTTCTTTATGCATACAAGAGCTGGGGTACAGGCCAGAGGTGTGGGAGGGGAGTGAGAGGATTCACCAGAGACAGAGGGGGGAACAGAACAGGCAGAATGACCGAAGTACACTGCTGAGGGGAGCAGCGGGCCAGTCAGGAGAGGTCTGCTGCGCCATTTGGGTTACTCCCTGGCTGGCCGGAAATCGAACTCGTGCTGCAATGGCTGCGGACAGCTTCATAGATTGCTTCTTCACCCTAGCGCCACCAGGGAGGCCCTCTAGTCTATACTTTCATTAGTTCACTCTTGGAGTTGTACAGTCTGTGGGTTTGGACAAATATATACTGATGTGTATGCATCATTATAGTACACAGAATAGTATGTGGCCTCTTTAGATTTGTGTTTTTCTGTTTTTTATTTATTTGGGGGTTTTTTTGGTATGTAGAAAAACTGGATGTAGGCCAGAGGTACAGGGGGTGAGAGGATTCACTCATGACAGAATGGGGAGCAGAACAGGTGGATTTACTGAAATACACTGCAGAGGGGAGCTGCGGGGAGCAGTGGGCGAGACAGGGGAGCTCTGGGGAACAGCAGGCGAGACAGGAGAGGTCTGCTGGGCCATTTGTAGGTTAATTCCCTGGCCTGGTATTGAGCTCAGGTGGTAAAGGTGATAGTGCTGAGATTTAACCTCTGAGCCACCAGGGAGGCCCCTAGATTTGTGTTTTTCACTTGGAGGAAGCTTAAATGGATATTACTATATATTTTCATAACCTGATATCTCTGTTCTTTTTATTTTTTAAACATCCTTGTTTATTTCTTCGTAATACAGGATTTTTCCCTTCGGGTGTGGTCATCATAGTTTTCCCACAATCAAGGTGCCCATAATCCTCCACACTCCACTGTGCTCTTCTTTCCTTGTTCTCTCCTCTCTCCTCGTTCTCCCCAAGCTGAATGTCTATTATGAGATTTTAAATTGCATTCATTTTATAGATGACATAAACTGACTGTTTAATGACTGTTTTTAATTCCTTGGTCTTATTCCCAATATTGTTACCCTTAGAATATTTCAAACTATAGATATCTGTCCAAAGTTTTAAATTCAATGTAATGAAACACAGTTCTTCTTTCCCTATCTTAAAGAAGTCTCTCAATAATTTTTCTGTAATAAAAGTGATATTTATATATCAATTTCACAAGAAAAAAATTTTTGATTGTTTCTCCACCATGGTATCTTTCAACTCCTGCTTTTATTTTATGTCTGCTTCCTTGAATTTTCTTTCTTATTTAGTACCTACTTTGTTTATGCATGCTGCCTGGATTTTCCCCTGTCTTTGTCACTGTAAATCAGGATATGTGAAAACAAAATAACCAAGCCATTTCATAGTTTCATATCTAATCCTGGTGTAGTCTAAGATTTCCCTTCCTAATTCATAGTATCTGCCATGCTTATCTTTTATAAAGATTTTAATTCAAATCCCACCTTGAAGTTCTTCTGTAATGGCTTTCAGTACCTATTTCTTTTTGCATTTTCATATTGCCACAATCTTTTTTAAGATTCCTGCAGGTGGGGAGCAGAACAGACAGATCCACTGAAATATACTGCTGAGGGGAGCAGTGGGCAAGATGGAAGAGGTCTGCTGCGCCATGTGGGTTATCTCCCTGCCCGGGTATTGAACTCATGCTACAGTGGCTGGTGTTAGCTTGATAGCACTGTCTTTAACAACCCTGTGCCACCAGGGAGGCCCCATTAGGGAGTCTTAAAGCCAAGCCTGTTATCTTTAGACATTTATGTCTAGTGCCCCATCTATGTTTAATCTTATTTACTTATTTAATCTTATTGCTAATCAGCTTTTGACTGCTAATTAATTTAATCTCCTGGTATGTCTTATCCCATTAGGATTACTAGGCAATTTCAGTTGTAAGTAGATTTTAATTAGATGGACTAGATCTTCCAATATCTATCCTAATAAAGAGCTCAGCAGCAATACTCTAGATACTGGCTTTTGTATATACAGAAAAATTTTGCCCATGGGCATCCTTGTGATCATGTTTCAGGATTTTAAGTATAGCTATGTATGATTGTACACGTCCAACAGGCTTATCAGATTTTTAATCAAAATCAGCTAAGATTTTATGATCCCACGGAATTGCCCCATCTCATTTAGTCCTGAACCTACCTGCATCTGATTATTGACCTCACCCAACATGGGTGGACTGGGAGCAGAGGTAGAATAACTTAGATAGTATGACTGTAAAATATTGATGCTGAGGGCCTCCCCTGGTGGTGCAGGCGGTTTAGCCCCTCCCTGTGAAGCTATCCGCAGCCTCTGCAGCACTGGATCGATTCCTGCTGGTCGGCAAGTGTCCCACATGGCGCAGTAGACTTCTCCTGTCTTGCCTGCTGCTCCCCTCAGCAGTGTATTTCGTCAGTCTGCCTGTTCTGCTCCCCGCTCTGTGGCTGGTGAATCTTCTCATCCTCCTGCGCATCCGGCCTGTACCCCGGTTCTTGTGTAAAATGAATAAGTAAATCTTTTAAAAAAAAAAAAAAAGAATTGATGTTGAAATAGTCTAGCAAACACTGGTGATTAAATTGTCTCAAGTCTGTGGGCCTCCCCGGTGGCGCAGCAGTTGAATGCTGGGCTGCGAAGCTGCCTGCAGTCTCTGCAGCGCCAGTTCGATCCCTGGCTGCCGGCGAGGGTCCCACATGGCACGCAGACCTCTCTTGCTGCCCCCTCTGCTCCCCTCAGCAGTGTTTTCAGTCAGTCTGCCTGTTCTGTTCTCTTCTCTGGCTCTGGTGAATTCTCTTACCCTCCCGCACTTCTGACTGTACCCAGTGCTTGTATAAATAAATAAATAAATCTTTAAAAAAAAAATTGAAGTCTGGAGATCTAAAATTAAAATTGTTACTGCTTAATTTGTGATATGGATTTTGCGTTTTCCTAATTTTGGTGATCTTATTTACTTGAAGATGGCAATTCAGAGTTGTCTTAGAATTTTGGGACTTTATCCTGAGATTGTGTGCTAGAACTATTTGAATTCTTAGTGTGGGAGATGGTTAATAAGGAAACCCAGTCTGTTGGGCTTAAGGTTAAAATAAATTGTTAGTTCTCTACCTTTTGCCTTTGCCTGAATGACTTTTTATATTCAGTTGTGGAAAGGATGATTTCAAAGTATAGCATGGGGCCTTCCTGGTGGCCTAGCGGTTAAGTCTCAACACTGTCACTTCTATAGCCTAAGTTCTATCCCTGGCCAGGAAACCTCTCCTGTCTCGCCTGCTGCTGCCTTTAGCAATGTATTTCAGTCAATCTGCCTGTTTTGCTCCCCACTCTGTCTCTGGTGAATCCTGTCATCCCTTGCACATCTAGCCAGTTCTTTAGTGCATAAATAAATAAATAAATTTTTTTAAAATAGCATGTATTACTGTAAAGCTCCTGCTACTTCCTGCTTGATAAAGTTATAAGTGATAAAAACAAATTAGCTTAGCCTTTGCATTTTATTTATTTGAAGCTGTGGGACTTCCAGCATATTCTTTGAAAAGTACCCCATGTACTAATGCATTTGTTTTGTATTCCCTGTAACAGCTTATTAATACATATGATATCCTCACTGTAAATAGTTGATGAGGACTTAATTCTAAGATGCTTTGCCCTCCATAGCTGCCTCTAAGGAGTCTTCTGTTGACGTTTCGTGTTGGGATACAGGGCATGTCAGTGCCCTAGTTGCCAGCATGATTGTATAAGCCTTTCTCTTTCCAGTCTTCCTCACTGATTTGAAAACAAAATCAGAGGTGATGGAGCATTCTTTCTAGAACACATCATTTTAGCAACATTGTAGAGTTCCTAATGGTTGTATTTGAGATTTATGTTATTCTTCTGATTGATTCGACCTTAATGATTTGTTCAGTCTTTTATGCATATCTAAACTTCATATACTACCTTTGTTTCTCTTGCTCATTCTTCTTCATCTGTCCATCTAAATTTTGAAGTACCCTTTGTGTCAGTCCTTGGATCTCTCCTCTTTTCTGTCCTATTCTCTTAAGAGAGTGACTTCATCCAGTCTTGTGGTTTTAAATGTCATCTGCATGCTGATGGCTTTCAAATCTCTCTCTGGTTAAGACTCATCCCCTGACATCCAGTCCTGTGTAACTAGTTGCCTGCTTGACCTGTCTAACAGGCATCTTTAACTTAACATGTCTGTAAGCTTCTAATGGTTCCTAAACCTGTTTCTTCTGCAGCCTTCACTAGCTCCGTTAATGCTAACTCATTCTTCTAGATGCTGGCAACAGAACCCTCTTTTCTTTGCCTCAAACCCAGCGTCTGGTCTTTGGACAACTCTGTTAACTTTATCTCTAAAATGTATTTCTATCTAACCATTTATCACTGTTCTCTCAGCCACCAACCTGATCCACACTATCATTTGCCTGGTTTATTGTAGTAGCTTCCTAATTAGTCTCCCATCTGCTTTTGCTTCCCTGTAGTCTGATCTTAGAGCACAGTCAGAGTAGTCAGTTAAAACTTAGGTCTTGTAATTTTTCTGTTATAAGCCTTCCAGTAGCTTC